TTTTTTAGCCAATCAGATATTTTAAAACGGACAGGACACTCGTGACATCGGGGTAATTTTATTATATTTTGATGATTTGATTGATGATTGACTATCACTATTATAGCTTTAATTTATTTTATACTAATTAAACTTATAACATCGCATTCAAACTATAACATAGTTTTTAATTAGGGATTATCAAGAGTAATGACATTGTATCTAAACAATAATACAATTTTTAATCAAAGATTATCCAAAAATAATAATTTTTTATTTGAAATATAGTATCATTTTTAATTAAGAACCATACAAAAACAGTGGCTTTTATCTAAACAATAGTTTAGCATATAAACAATACATCCAAACAATGGTTTTACATCTTAACAATGATAAGTTTTTCATCAAAAATTATTCCAAAATAATAACTTTACATCCAAATAATAACATGGCCTTTAAGGCTTTATTTTTTACTAGAGCCTTTATTCTTTATAAGGGGCTTTAACTATTATTAGAATTTCGCCATCTATAAGGAATTGGTCTTTATAGAGGTTTCGAAGGTTTCGCAAGTTTCGCAGGTTTCGCAGGTATTGAAGATTTCGTCAGAGGTTTTGTCATTTGAGGTGGTAGGTTTTGCCTTTTGCCATTTTGCAAAAAGGGCTTTGTCTAACAACATTAATACTGATATCACATGCAGATCACCAAGCAAACTACTACCGGCAAGTTCAAAATTACACTAACCTTAACTATAATTACACACCTGACCCTAATAACAATAAACTATTAAAAAAATGCTCACATAATGAATATTATACCATTTTTTTAAAGAACAACCCATATAGATTTTATAAATAACTTGCTTGCATGGTCCAAGAATAAATTTACTATGTTTTTAAAAAGTTTAACACGCCTTATTAGGCCACGCAAAGTTAATTTTTCGTTTTGCATTACATGGATCTGAAAAATTGGGTCGGTCGGTCGGATTATTATTTTTTTTGCTGCTTCCAAATCGGATAATTCCGGGAAACCAAGGTCTCCGTCGGGTGAAACCGGTTAAAATGACGGAAAAAAATAAATGGCAGAAATCGAATAATTGGTACAATTGACACTTTAAAAAACAACATTTTTTTTTGAAAATGGGTCGGTCGGGTAATGCAAAACGAAAAATCAACTTTGCGTGGTCTTACATCTTTATTTTTTAAACTTTTTAGTTTCGGCTGGTTGCGCGGGTCTTTAACAAAGATTATATAAATTTTTAAACCGATATTTAGATGAGTTTTTCTTAAAAAAATATTTATTTTACATACAACGATTTTTAAAAAAATAAATAATTTTTTAAAAAAATCTATCCGCATAATAGATGTTTTAAATATATTATAAGGCCACGCAAAGTTAATTTTTCGTTTTGCATATCATGGAATCAGAAAAATTGGATCGGTCGGTCGGTCGTATGTTTTTTCTGTTTAATCTATTGTAAATTAATTGGCTCATTTTCATATCTAAGGCTATACAAAGTTGATTTTTCGTTTGCATTGCATCAGTCCTGTCGGGAATTACGGGATACAAGGTTTCTATCGGGTGAGATCGGATAAAATTGATAGAAAAATTAAATAGCAAAAATAGAATATTTTTTTGAAAAATTGAAAATGGGTCGGCGGGTTATGCAAAACGAAAAATTAACTTGCGTGGCCTAATGTATCATCGTTCTTAAGTTTTTTTTTTTAAAAAATCTTTTAGAGTAATTTAAGATCGCACTTACATTAGCACTCGATTTTTAAAACAAATTCGCAAAAAGGTGATTTCTTGTACAGATTTTTGAATAACAAGCAATTTTTAAATCAAGTTTATGTTACGCTACATCAAATCGCTATTTGTTGTGTCGATCATCACGTCGGTGAACTTATTGATGGTATCAAAAAAGTATATAAATTTTGGTGTACATCTAGGAGAATCGTAAGCGCAGGAGTCTCAAAATGTAAGTTTTGTGTCCCTGTGATTTATTGCGATTTGCAAAAAGGTGTGACCTCTGCAGATCATCGTGTAATGTAAAATAGCGGGAAATTATGGAGATTTTTCAATTCTAAGGAAATTATACAGATTTCCAAATATATATAGATATCACTGATCGAATATATGGTTGTTTGAAAATCTAGAATCTCCGAAATTCCCCACTATCGTTATCACGGGTCACACCTTTATGCAAACCGCTATAATTAACTGACTTGTCGTTCTTTTTGAATTTTTATTGGCTAATTCGCATAATTCGCATAATTTATAATTTGTCACATGCTATCTTCGTATCATAATCCTGGACACCCTATCGGTAGTTATCCCAAAATTAATATAGAATCCAAGTCACGTGATGCACTTCGTAAACAGCCAATAAAATTTTAGATTAAGTATAAGTAATACTGCGATGCTAAATGTACTATGTATGTATAGTCCCAAATTTTTTGTATGACAGTCGCGATGTTCAATAGTAAAATACTATGAATTTTAACGAAAATTATTAATATTATTAAAAGAAAATAATTAAATTTAACCGGAGATGAAATTCCCCTTAACTATTAATAAAATTTAGAGTTAGGGTATAATTTTAGACGAAGCTTAATGTTAGATATTAGGACCTCAATTTAATTAGCATAAGGTTTTTGGGGTTCTGAACATTTTTATTTAGTATCCTGAGGTATGCAAATTCTTAAAATTAAAAAAAAAAAACGCTCTTTTAGTTTAAAATATGGATCTGTTGAGTAATCGATCAAAATTTTAAGTTAGTTAATATGTAATTTACAGAGGGATACAGTTTGAAATTTGATAATTTTTTATAATCGTTTCATATAAGAGTTTAAGCTTCAAATTGTATCTCCTCAGTAAATTATATATTAATTATTTTGAAGATTTTACTTGAATACTCAGCAGAACCTAGATTTTAAACTAAAAGAGAGTTTTTTTTTAAAAAAAAAACAACAAAATCGTCTATTAAATGTTTATATAATTTATTGAAATCAACTATTTGTGACGGTACCCGGATTTTATTTATAGTTGTATTTGGAATTATAAAGGTCATAGTACGTAGTAAATTAGTAATAAAAATACCCCGTGATCTTGATATAGTGATCGGGATATTTTGAAAGGTATATTTTTGTTAAGACATGAAGGTTGATTTTATAGACATAATTTTGGGTTATTTTGATTTGAAATTTTGAGGTTTTTGTAACTGCCGGTGACAAATAGATTCGCCTATTTTTTATTAACGATGATCAAATTGTCAACTATAGTTAATCGTGATTGTTATACAAAAAAATTGTCTATTCAAACATTCATATAGGACTATACATAAATTTGATTTACATAATACATTTAACACACCAACGCAATACATATCGCTTTTGTCGAAGTTGGTGTCATGTGACATGATCGAAATCACACGTCAGATGACTTTTACCCGGTGAAAACATGATTTTGAATTTCGGTAAGACTTTGGGTAAGACATTCGACTTTCGGTAAAACTTTCGAATTTCGGTAAGTCTTTCGGTAAGAGTTTCGAATTTCGGTAAGACTTTTGACTTTCGGTACTTTCGACTTTCGGCAAGAGTTTCGACTGTCGGTAAGACTTTCAACTTTTGGTA